ACCGGGAATAATGAAACGCCCGAGCCATATCTGCGGATACCGACGTTACGAGTAATTTAGCCGAACGTTAATTAGCATGTAACGAAGGAGCCGGTACTGGGTCGAGTCACGGGATTTTTATTGTTCACCGGCGAGGGATCGTATGCGACTCGCGTTCCGTCGTTCCCGATTCTTATGCTGAACGCGTATTACCGCGTTAGAACCGCACGAGCGAACGTCTCCGTCACGTCCCGCTTCGTTTTCGAGGCGACGACACCGTACGCCCGAAAATCTTTACGCTCGTGCCGCTCGAGGATCAATCGGAGGCCTGTTTGTGCAAATTATTCTCCCGATTTCGCGATTAATTGTTATCAGCGACTGGTGGAAGCTCTGTTGAGCCATTTACTTCTTGATTTGAGAGTTTCTTAGGTATTTTTTGAAAGAATTTTTGCTGAACTATTAGTCTCTAGTTTGCTGAGGAAGATGAGTTGATTCTTTGCTTTAGGATTTCTTTTGATAGGTATATTATGTTACAAATATATTGCTATTATGATTCTTATGTTGAACGCATATTACGTTGTATAGTTGGAAGCTCTATTGATCCATTTATTTCTCGATTTGAGAGTTCTATAGTTATTTTTTGAAAGAATTTTTGCTAAACTATTAGTCTCTAGTTTTCTGAGGAAGATGAGTTTATTCGTCGCTTTAGGATTTAGTATATATGTGTATGAGTATATTATGTTACAAATATATTGCTATTATCATTGGTGTTACAAGTATATTTTTAGATTTCTTTGACCCTTAGCACTCCAGATGGTTTTCTAATGTATCAGCAACTGCAACTAGTTTTTATAGTATCCATAGCGAAAATGAAAAATGCTATATTTCTTCGATCTTTTATTTTCCTTAGTACAAAATTCGGATGCGTGGAAAATCTAATACTTTTAGGGTAGTTTCTTTAAGATTCATTAAAATATCTAATATTATTCCTGGTGCAATATCGTAGCCTACAGAGTTCAAAGAGTCAATATTTATTCACTACGCACAATGTACTTTAAAACGCGTACGACTGGATATTACAAAGCAAAGGATTAATTCATCGTTCCCGTTGAGATACGCATATATAAAACTCTTTTCCCCCGCACGAATTCGTTTATGGGAATCGCGAATCACGATGTATCTAGAGTTCCGTGGCCGAGATGGACACTCATCTCGCGAGATGCTGCGAGGTTCGCGGTACCGGTGTTTTTCACTGCTCCGTTTCTATGACGTCATAACGTTACTCTCGTAATCTTATCGCGTTCCGGCGCTGGCTGCCTCGTCGCCGTTTAAAACGCGGGTTTTACGACGGTCCTTTAGTACGCGTTTTATTGCCAAATGAGTTCTTGCGTAAGCTTTTATTAAGAGCCACCAGACCACGCCGAGCTATATTAGAATACAGAGGATGAACCCTCTCCGTCCGTCGCGCGCGCGACGCTTCGAATTGACGCGTATCGACGTTTCGAATACGTGTTCAGGGTATTATACACCGTCGTACCCAATTTCCAGTTTTCCCATTTCCAATTTGTCCACTTCGCGGACTCGAATTACAATGGCTCGTAATATTTTTCGCTTCATTGGACGGTCCGTAGGTACATATTACTGTCGATGCTCGGCGACTACGAATAGTCCGATTGGATTCCCCGTGGATCTACCGTGTTAATTATATTTGAGCTTGAATAGATACGTGAAATTTCGCGTGCGGCTATTATTATTAGTTGCCGCCATTGTGTTCCCTGTAGGTACACCATAGTAGTTGTATTTGATTTTGAATGGATACATAGTGGATACGTTAGCTTTCAAATGAATGTACCATAGTAGCATTAGATCTGATATCAATGTATCATAGTAGTTACTCATATTTCGACTGGTTTTGATTTTTTTGTTTAGCAATTATTATCTTCGAAGCATTGAATATTCGAAATGATTTTTAAAAAAAATAGTTTCATTTGAGTACTATGAGTATCTGAAGAAATGGAGAATAATCTATTGTAACAATTTTTATGGGAATGACATATTAATCGTATTAAATGCTCTAGTGTTAACACTAGAACTACCGTAACAGTCAAAATGACTGGTTTCGATTTTTCTGTTTCGCAATTATTGATATCTTCGAAGCATTGAATCTTCGAAATGATCTTGAAACTAGTTTCACTAGAGTACTATAATGAATGTCTGAAACTGAAAATAATCTATTGTTAGAATTTTTATAGGAATTGCATATTAATCGTATTAAATACTCGGTAGTTCTAGTGTTAACGCATTGGCAACTCAGCATTTTCCCAAGAGATTAGTAACCTTTTCGAATTGAAACTCACACGAAATTAAACGTTTGAAACAGTGAATGCATTAATAACAGCAGTTAAGTGGGTAAAGGCAAATAATTAATAACGATAATTTTATGCAATTTGGCTATAAAGAAAATAAGAGGTAGATAGAAGGTGAAGATATGAAAAGGCAACGCGTTGTCAAGAGAAACGGGAGTTCTCCATTGGTCGATAATGTGTTAAGCGACCTCGTTACCCGGCGTAATTGAAATTTCTGAATGGCGGACAAATCGCGGCCCGATTTCGATCGTTTACTCCCGCATTCTTCCCTTCCGCGTCGCTAATTTGCCTAATTATCGTCGTTTCCACGGCTCCCTGGCCCGACGATTCAACCAATCCCACTTCGTTCGCCTCTTCCAGAACACGGGTACATTCTGTCCTTTTCAAGCCGCTACACAAACATAATATCATCTCCTCCGTCGATGAATCGTACCGTCGGGGCTTTGCCAACTTTAAGTAATTCAATTCTTTGGTACTCCTCCGGCTCGCGCTGCTCCCCTTTTTCGCGATTATTCGAATTAATTTTTTCATTCTTCGCTCGGTGAACGTTGCCGTCCGAGAAGCGATTTACGCGTGCAAATCGGGTTTACCTGTGTCTCTCTGTTTCGGTGCATTCGTTCTCCGTTAATTAATTCTATAAATTAAATATATAACCGAGGGAAAACATCTCTGCGTTTCAATGAACGATCAAAGCTCTACTTTATTGTTAATATTATTCTGTGCGGTGAGATTTTAGTCCTTGTAAAATTCTAATCCCGAATTCTAATCTTTAATTCCCATTTCAAATTCTAATCTTCAAGAATTCTAAATTCTATTCTTTATGAAATTCACATTTCAAATCCTAATCTTTAAGAATTCTAATTCTAAATTCTATTCTTTATGAAATTCCCATTTCAAATCCTAATCTTTAAGATTTCTAATTCTAAATTCTATTCTTTATGAAATCCTAAGTCCAAATTCTAACGTTTAAGAATTCTAATTTTAAATTCTATTCTTTATTAAATTCTAAGTAAAAATTCTAACGTTTAAGAATTCTAATTCTAAATTCTATTGTTTATAAAATTCCCATTTCAAATCCTAATCTTTAAAATTTATAATTTTAAACTCCATTCTTTATGAAAGAAGTCCAAATTCTAACGTTTAAGAATTCTAATTTTATATTCTATTCTTTATAAAATCCTAACTCCAAAATCTAACGTTTAAGAATTCCACTCCCAAAGTTCAATCTCCTAGAACACCAGTTCCAAATTCAAATTTCAATATCACCGAGCAGCTTCACGGCGCAGTAGCGTCCCATTGAAACAACCACCATCCAAAGAGATTTCTCCAATTCCGAACGCGAACGGGGGCAAGACTCGTGACGCCTAATTGCGCCATGAATCTCTGCGAGCGCGTCGGCGTTTCGAGGATTCCTCGGCACGCGCCGCCCTCGGAATTATCGTCGGCGCGGCCCGAATTAATGGCCGTTTCCGCGTGACCGGGTCCCGCGGTAAAAATATCGGAAGCGATCGAGTCTCTCTGTGTCACCAGGGGAATCCCGGTTCACCGATAAGTCTACCGGCGCATCCGGGACACCGAGTCCGTCCTTCCGTCGTAAATATGTCGGTCGGGGGCGTCGCGTTCCATCAGTTTCCCTGCAGTCTCCGCGCCATTAAATCGAACCGGCCGATTTAACGGACAATGAATTACAAACCGTCCCCGCAGACGGACAGTTACGCGAACGCGACGCGAGTTTATAGAGGTTTATTACCGGCCGGGGCGCACGCGCGTTTCGCCGTTTCCGTTCCGCTGTTCCAAAACACGAGGGGAGTTTTACGGTTTCGCCGTGATTCGATCAATTTCGAGGGACCTGTCGATGCGTGAGAATGGAATAACCTTTGACAAATTTTCGTATGGGGTAGTTTATGGGGGAGATCGATTTCTGATCGAGGGATTCGGCTGAAAGTGGGTTGCGCTCGTTGTACCTTGAATTTAACGTATTGCACTCGAGAGGTGACCCTCGGTCATTTGATTCGATATAACAGAATTACAAAGTGTTATATATAATATTAACCCTTTGCACTCCAGAAGTTTTTCACCGGAAACATTCAATATATTCTAATGAGATACACACGAGTTTAGTCTTTCAAATACGAACATCCGATCTCGCCGGAATGTCGACATTCGTCGAAGGGTTAAATGTATCAAATATACGTTACCAAGTGATAGTAAACAAATTAGACAGTGAATTTTATTTGTAGTATCACAATTGTACCATTTAAAGGTAACATTTCAATGACTCCCAAACATTCTTGAATAAATAAATAGAGCGTCATTAAGCTGTAATTGAATGAACTAACGTCGACGTGAACCTCAAAGTGAGAAACGAGCACTTCGGACCACAAAGGGTTAACGTTAGATCCATTCAGCAGTGATTATTCATTATTATTTGATTTCCATTGTTTTTTATGGGAACTATGAAAATGCATTTGTTGAAATTTCATTCATTCAACAAATGCAATTGATTCATATAAGAATTTCACGAACTAACGTCGACGTGAACCTCAAAGTGAGAAATGAGCACTTCGAACCGCGAAGGGCTAACCATAGAACACCGATTCCACGGACATTGATTCGGAACGAGTCAACTAAACGTCTTCCTCGTTTCTGTTGCAGGAATAATGAAGAGAGAAGCTGATGCAGGCGCTATGACAGGCTCCGGAGGACCGACAAGTCCTCACAAGCGTTACAGACAGGGTGACGATGAACTTCGTCTACTGATCCCGAGCAAGGTAAGAGCCTCGTCGTGCCCCCTTCTCGAACGATATCGATGAAAACCGGCGAAGAAACGCGTCGAATTCTCGAGAATCAAATATTTAACGGGTCGTCCGTTATGCAAATTCCGAAGTCAAGACGCAAGGAGAAACTGCTTAGAGTACTTTCTAACTTCTGGTGAAACTGAGCGTGTACTTTCCAATTCCTCGCCGCTTTTAGAGTTTCGAAAGGGATTTCCAACGGCCGAGCCGCGGCGTTTCGTCGGTTAATGAATATTGAGGAGCGAGCGTGTGTTTCTCGGTTCTTGAAATTGGCAAAAGCGCAGACTAATTCGAGGAAATTGATCCTCGGCCGATAGCCCCCGGGAAAGATTACGATCGGTTGTTAGCTGTTTTCTCTCGGACGTGTGAACGACACACGGAAGAACCTTCTCGAGCGTTTTCCCCGGCTGTAAGGCGCACAATGCGGCGTGCCTCTATGCTTTGTTGCACCAATGCGATTGCTTCGTCCTGTGGAGGAGCTGTTGAAGGTGAACAAATGAATTATGGAATATTTTAATTGTATATTGGTCTTCCTTGGTTTCGAGAGGGAACTTCGATGGTTTAACCCTTTGCACTCCGACATTGTAAAAGTTTATAACTTCGTTTTTCAAACATAACTTTAAAGTGTATACACGCTTTTTTAACATGTTGAATGCCGCACGATTTCGTACCGTAAAATATACAAAATGAAGAAAATATGATAATAAATCGTTTGATTGAATTGCATTATTATTATTGCACGGTATTCTAGTTGAATGTTACGAAATTAGATAGCATTATTTGTAATATATAAATGTTTTCAAATAACCACCGTTTAATCGAGTAACAGGGAAGAAACCAGTGGCGTAAGGCAGCTTTTCGGCCGCCACAGTCCATTTTTTCTTCTCCGTTTCGCGCCACTGTTTCAGTGGAAGCTGATGTGACAATATTCGAGTTCCCTTGAATCTACTTTATCTAATCAGTTCATTGAGCAAGACCTGTCTACGACGCAAGATATCGCGACGTTTCCATGTAACACGATTCTGTAACTAGAACTGTAGATAATAGAATTGTAGATGAACCGGGGATCGTAGCAGGGTTAATTAACCCTTTGCGGACGAAGGTTGTTTGGAAGGTAGAAAACCTTCGCAGATGAAGTTAAATTGTATATCGATTGCTTAATTAATGGGAAAACGGGAAACGTGCTGATCTCTTGCTGACTAATTAAATCATTTGTTCGCGACTTAGTCTTCCAAACACAGACATTCATCTCGTCAAAATGTCGACATTCGTCCGCAAAGGGTTAAATATATCAAATATACGTTACCAAGTGATAGTAAACAAATTAGACGGTGAATTTTTCTTAATGGAACCAAAAGGAAAGAAACATTGAATTAGATTTCAAATTAACCCTTTGCGCTCGAGAGGTGACTCTCACCACATGACTTCATACAGTAAAACTATAAAATTTGATATTTAATATTCTATCTCGTGTAACTCGTCAATTCGAAAAATAATGAAATAAAATTACTTTGTTTCTCAATGTACGTATAATTTCCCTTCGACTTAGTTTCACAAAATATCGTGTTTATCTCATCAGAAAATTAAATATTTTTAGTAAAACTTCCGAGTGCAAAGGATTAATATTGAATTTCAAATGTTTAAGTTGAATCAAATGTCTCGATCGCAAGAAGTCAGTAGACGAAGGAGGTTGCAAATTGTGGAGCTATTTAGTTAAATCGAAAACCACTGTTTCTTGGTAGAAAAGTGATCGATTGGATTCCCTTGGAAAAACCTCCGAGTGCAAAAGGTCAAACGAGCCACAGAAAACGCAGAATTTTCCAATGAAACTTCTAAACCGGTTATTCGACGTTTAGTGTCGACTGCGTTGAGTGTCTATTGTTACTTTTTTTCCTTCAATGAATTCATTCACGTAGATCGTGCGCGTGGAAACGAGAGACGGAAGAACATCGTCGATCGTTTTCCCCGGCCTCATAAGGAGCACCGTGTGCAGCGTGTCTCCGCGCGTCCTTTTTTCCGGCGATAGCCTCTCTGTTTCCCTTTCCCTTTTTTTTCCTTCCTCATCCCGCGTGCGGCTCCGTTACGGTAAAAGCTGGCGGCTGGCGAACGCGAAGCCTCGCGATGCCGCGTTCTTCCGGTCATTGTCGCCGCGCTCGGCGGACCGTTATCGGGTTTCCTTCGACTTTCTTTCACCAGGAAAATTCCGACTGTCTGCAGCTTCTTTCTCTTTGTTCCTTATTTTTCTCCCGTTTTTCCTTCTCTCTCCCCGGGAACCAACAATGACTGTCGCTTGTTTAACGCGTCGAGGCGGACCGTTATGTGTTTTCACAGTACGATTATTGACGGTTCATTTATCGCGGACAGTGTTTGAGGATCTTTATGCAAATTCGCGTGTTTGTAGTTCAGTGTTGAACATCCGCGGTGAAATAGGAGGTTGGAAAGAGAATGCCAATGAAATTCAATGGAAGCATCGTTTGTTTAAAGCCTTCGTTGTTAGGTTTTACGGAAACTTTCATTGAATTGTGGTAATTATATTCGTATATTGAGTATTAACCCTTTGCACTCGAAAGTTTCTCAATGGAAATATTCAATATTTTCTAACGAGGTATAGGTGATATTGTTTGGAACTAATTTAACGATAATTCATAGGTAAATTGAGCAACAGAGGTGTTTTATTTAAATATTTCACGTAGCAATGCACACTTTGAAGTTGAATATTTAATATTTCAAATTAAAGTCACCACGTGATTTCAACAAAACTATGAAGTTGAATATTTAATATTTCAAATTATAGTTTTGTTGAAATCACGTGGTGACTGAGATTCACCTCTCGAGTGCAAAGGGTTAATCCTTGAAGATTTTCAGAAATATTGAGTGTTCCCTGTCGAAATACAAATAACATTCTTTAAAATTTAAGAAGAAATTACACATGAATCAAGCAATTGAACTTGAACGAAAGAACTCATTTTATTTCAATACTTCATACATCGATGTTATACAAGAATTAACCCTTTGCACTCGGAAGTTTTTCACTAGAAATATTTCAAAATTTCCTAATGGGGTAAAGACAACATTTTGTGAAACTAACTCGAAGAGAAATCGGTCATCAAAAATCACTACTTCACCCTTTGCGTGTCAATACTTGGGGGCCTGAGAGATAGACCAGGCCCATTACTAATTTATGACCAAGGGGGCCACCAGGATCTGGATCACGTACGCCCTCGTCTGAAGAGGTTTCCTTCTTAGAAAAGCAACCGAGAAAAAGTTAGTCGCCGTTCCTCGTTAGAGCCACATCGCGTAATAAATATATTTAACCTGACTACGGACTTAGTTTTTATTTTAGTAGCCCTACACATAAAAAATCACTACTTCGCTGAAGTGCCTCGAAAGAAGCCCCTAGTAGTTCGAGTGGTACCCAGCGGAATATCATTTCATGCTCAGTGGCCCAATAAAAATGAAGCTCGACTCGCACGACGCGATTGGATCGAAACAAAACGATCCTGGCTGGGCATAGATCAAGATGATCATTGTTCCGAACAATATTCCCGTGAAAGGCGGAGAAAACTCCGGACAAAGGAGCCCATTGATGTTCAATTTTTCATTTCGTTCCGGTTGTCAGGCTCTCCCGATCCTCCCTCGATCGCGATCGCGATCCGAGAGGCGGTCGCGCGCCAGCGATCCGGCACAATGTCGATCCATCGCATCGCATCGCGTCGGTAGGTCGGCTACGCAATCTTTCGGGTCTCCGCGAAAACGAGCCTGTGTCGGCGTGTCAGGGTCGATCGGTCCCGGAGATCGACGCGGGGATCGATCGGCGGGCTCCTTTCGTGCGCATGCTTGCTCGCTGCTGGACCATAGACGGAATGTAATTATCGGGCCTGGTTGCGCGAACCATTGCGCGCCGTGTCGCAACGGCTCGGCTCAGACTTTATCGTTACGCATTGTCAACCGGTAAGATAAAATTGTAGAGTAAAATCATGATGAAGTTACGGTGAAATAGTAGAGCTAATACAGAGGAAAATTATGGTAGAATTATGGTAAAACTAATATGGAATAAAATTGCGGTGAAATTAGTATACGGTGGAATTATGGTGAAACTGATATAGGAAATTATGGTAAAATTATAGGGTGAAATTGTGCAATGTGAATTATAGCAATGTAGAGTGATGGTCACTGGAATATTTGCTGACAATTTATTTGATTTTACAATCTGTGGTTTTTCGTAAGATATATAATCGATATGTTTGAAAAAATGAAATGTCGAACATTCGATTACGTTCGATTTTCAAATATAGGGTGAAATTATGCAATGTGAATTATAGCAATGTAAAGTGATAGTCACTGTAATATTTGCTGACGATTTATTTGATTTTACAACCTGTGGTTTTTCGTAAGATATATAATCGATATATTTGAGAAAATGAAATGAACATTCGATTACGTTCGATTTTCGAAAGTTCGTTTTTCGTTAACACTAGGTTTACGGAACGCGTCAAATTGACGCATATTGGATTTTAGAAATATTATTTCGTAAATGTTCACGCCGATTTTGATCGATGCGATCACACTGAGATGTACCCCAATTACCTACTATCGGATCTCCAGTGTCCACAACCTAAATAAACGAGCATCAATTCCTTTAGGAATAATAGAACGAAGTACAATAAATGCCCGTAAACCTAGTGTTAATACGAACTATCAGCTACAAGCGTGCCTCTGTAAAAGATTCAAGACCCTGCTTCGTCATTAACACGTTGAACGCCGCGGGGGTCACCGGTGACCAACCAAATCGAATTACCATAGGTCACTCGATCAAACGATGGTTATTTGAAAACATTTATATATTCCAAATAATACTATCTAATTTCGTAACATTCAACTAGATGACCGTGAAATAATAATGCAATTCAATCAAACGACTTAATATCATATTTTCTTCATTCTGTGTATTTCACGGTATGAAATCGTGCGGCATTCAACATGTCAAAGAAAGCTAACAACAATATCCGGTTGGACAGTCAACGCGTTAATCGGCCAGACTATCGATCGACCTTCCCGATCGTTCCTCGCCCCTCGGATTCCTCGAGCCCGTTTCCCACGGAAACCGATCGCCTTCGCTGGAGACGAAAAACGAGGAACGAGAACGAAACGCGCGACCAGATTAACCCCTTCGCCCTCGCTCCGGCTGGCTTTTGTGTCGAGGTCGATCCTTCGTTCACCGCGAGCACTTTCTGATCTCGTGCCGATCCCTGCGTGTGCCGGCCCAGTGAAATATGATTATTCATCGATAATAAGCGGGATAATACCCTGCGGCGCTGCGGGAATTAGTTTATAATCGAGAGCAGATGGAAGTGCAAGAAGCGAACACCTGTTGTAGGATCGTTGCTCTCTTTCTCGAGGGCTTATCTATTTATCTTGCATGCATACCCTATCGCGTTGAACTCTTCCATTTGTATCTTCTATTTGCTCGGTGATTCTTTCGTACGATTACACGCGCTGTACACGAATTCAGCATTCGCGTGCACAAAATTCTATTATATTGGTGGGTCCAGGGGTGCTCATCTGCATAATTATTTACACAACGTTCTTTGTACAGTTCTGTTTACAATTTTATACAAATTGTTTGACCAGCTTATTTCAACCGCCGTCAGATCCTAAGGGTTGGTTCAGCCGTGGAGGAATGAGTTCGATGTTGTGTACGCGTTTTCTATTTCGAAATTTGAACACATTGCGTACCGGAAACGAGGAATCTCGTTTCTATATGAAGACACTTAGCTATGCAGCTTCGCTGCTTACCACAGCATTGAAAAAGATATAAAATTTGATTCGATTCGATTATCTGTTTAAAATATATCATATAACAATATGATACGAGTTTTTCTATGTATAGTGATACAAGTTGACTTCAGTGAAAATTACCATCAATTCAGTTTTCTGAAAATTAGCCGGTACGCGATGTGTTAATAGTGAAACCCGTACGTCGCAGGCCGGCTTAACTTCGTGCGACTGTATTAATATTTACTTCAGTGGAAAGAACTTGCTGTTTATTAACACTAGGTTTACGGGCATTTATTGTACAGTTTATTCTATTGTTCCTGGTGAAGCTGATATTCGTTCGTTTAAATTTTGGAAATTGTAGATGTAGGAATAGACAATCAGGATTCATGTTCGTGTAACTGGATCAACGAAAACCGATTGAAACATTTACCAAATAATGTTTATAAAATCCAATATTTATTGTACAGTCTATTTTATTGTTCCTGGGAAGTTGATATTCGTTCATTTAAATTTTGAAAACTGTAGATGTAGAAATAGACGGTCAGGATTCATATTCGTGTAACTGGATCAACGAAAACCGATTGAAACATTTACCAAATAATGTTTATAAAATCCAATATTTATTGTACAGTCTATTCTATTGTTCCCGGGGAAGTTGATATTCGTTCATTTAAATTTTGAAAACTGTAGATGTAGAAATAGACAGTCAGGATTCATATTCGTGCAATTGGATCAACGAAAACCGATTGAAATTTACCAAATAATATTTCTGAAATCCAATATGCGTCAATTTGACGCGTTCCGTAAACCTAGCGTTAAAGCGATTTCGCGTCAGACGTATCGCAACGATATCTCGGCGAACTCATCAGCGTGACAATCTTTTGTTACAGGTGGCCGGTTCGATAATCGGCAAGGGTGGCCAGAATATCACCAAACTTAGAAGTCAGGTAAGCTGTTGCTTCTTCCGTTCGCCGACTACACACTCCGTCGTCTCGTTCTCTTCTTCCCCCCCTGCTCGGTTCGGTCGAAAATAGAGCAGAGGACGAGGAAGAAGAAAAAGACGAAGAAGAGAACGAGAAACGCTTAGAACACGTTAGACCCTACGAAGCTCGCGAGAATGAGGATCAACGACGGACTCCGTAGAGGCTAATCCAGATCAAACGATCCTCATTTTCGCGAGCTCCTCAGCCACGGTCTCGCAAACGACCTGCCGCGAAGTTACACGAGTAGACCTGCGTAGAGTCTCGATATCGGCGATCCCTCGCCAAGATCGATCTTCGGCTCCGATCACCCGCCGTTCCGCGAGTTTCTATAGACACGTGTGTGGATGAAAAGGTCAAGCTTAATGCGATCTTCCTTTTATTTCTCGGATCGTTAACAGGATCTCGCGTGAACGTTCGATGGTCATTCTTATCTCGTATCGTATCGTTTCGTTGCCACATACTCCACGCACGTACCACACCGTCAGTTCTCACACATTTGGTTCCTGAACTGGGAAAGTTTCCTTCGTCTCCTGCTGTTATGCCCGTCCGCGACGAATCTTCTTTCTTTTTTTGTTTTTAATTGTACATATAGATTTTCTTTTTATCGTCGTTTCGAATCGTTGCTCGTGGTTCGTCACGGGCAGCCGATTCCGTGTGACGCGACGCGCATCTAAGACGGTTGCGGTCTCACGGAACACGTGGGCGTGATTCGCCGCTGCATTCGACCCTGAACGGTCGATTAATGATGCGGCACGAGTGTCGGCGAGTAAAGCCCGTTCCGCACTCGCTCAGAAGTTCCTTTAATCAAACGATTCCGATCTTGCCTGCGAACGACTTCCACGAAGTCGACGCGAAACATTAAATTGCGCTGTCTACGCGAAGCTTCTGCGTGTAATATCCGCTGAACGATTTTTCCTGAGTTCTCTCGCCTCGACACTTGAATCTTTGAAAGTAGAATCTACCGAACAACTTTCTGCAATTGGAAGTTTTTTACTAGAAGCATTCAACGTTTTTCGATGAGACGTAGATGACATTCTGTGATTAATGAGAGAATTACCTGAATGTTACGCATTAACCCTTTGCACTCGGAAGTATTTCGTTAGAAATATTTAATATTTCCTAACTAGACATGTTTTAAATTAACTCAAAGAGAAATCGCAAGTAAATTGAGAAACAAAGCTTTTTTATCCCAATATCTCACACACCGAGGCATTATACACAGTTCAATATTGAGTATCAAATTTTTTGAAAGTTTTTCATTTGAAATATTCTATACTTCCTAATTTGACGTCGACGAGATTCTTTAAAATGTATTTAACAAGAAATCATATATAAATTAGATAAGAAAATTATTTTCTTGTAATATCTCACGTACTGATGCAGTATACAAAGGTTAATGAATCCGAAAATTGATAATTTTGCTGGATCAAATCATCTGGCGACTCAGAGTCACCTCTCGAGTGCAAAAGGTTAACGACTACACAAAGCTTAATATTATATGCATTACTTTATGATTTTCTAAATCAGATCAAGCGCGACTCAGAGTCACCTCTCGAGTGCAATGGGAAAAATTCCATCTGTAAATAAAAAGATCAACTTTCAAAGTAACCGACAATCGAATGATTCTACGAGCACTCACATTTCCAAACACTAAAACAGATTCATGCTTCAATCGGAATCCCAGCTGAATATTAAAATCCAGAAGATTCAGAAGTGGGCAGTGCAATCTCATCCGAGAAGCAAAAGTAGTCGCCATAATCGCGGCAATTCAATTCAATTCGATTAACGCGCGTAACGGGCTTTACGGTTGCGCAACGCCGATTGTTTTCCGCGCGGATGTATTCTTTCTTTTTTCGCCGTCCTTGAGACGCCGTCGCCGCGAGGGACTCACCCTGCACGAACCAAATGGCCGAAGGAACACCATAAAAGTAGGTCTGCGCGGCGGTGACGCTCGTCCGCGCGACGAACGGTGGAGGGAAGAAGCCAGCCTCGAGAGAGAGCTTCTCGCTCGGGAACGGCTTCACGGTCGCGTCTCTCGTAACCGAACAATCGGACCTCCACGCAGCTGTCCGAACAACAGGTCACCGATTCCCGGGTCGAACTGGCCGCAGAACGCGAGCTTCGGCTCGCGCGACTCGCGTCTCCGATCGCCGAGGCGCGCGGAAGCTTCTTCGGCGAGGCTGTCCGCCGACCACGCGCGCCTCCGTCGTACGCACAGTTCGTTCACTCTTGTCGCTGTCACTTGCCATCATTACTATCGCTTTTCCGCAACGCCGAGACCCATCGGCAGTCCGATCCGCGCGACGAAACGCGGACGAGAGATCTGGGGATGAAATCGAGTGGGCTCGACGCGGGTTGGCGTTCGCTTGATTTCTCGGGGAATTCGCCGGTCGATGTCGCGTGTTCAGAAACATCGGTCGAACCCCCCGAAGACCATTGTACTAGCGTTCCATCATCGTTACTGTTATCGATAAACCTACGTTTTTTCGCCCGATTCCATCGGGCTTGGATGTCCGCTATAAAAGTTTCGTTAACGACGCGAGTGAAAAGGCAGAAGCTTGAAGGAAGGCATTTTCGTCGGCGATATTCGTTCGACTCCTTGCACCGTAACCGCCTGCGAGACTCGTACATTTTACGACCCAAACGTAAGACGAATCCAGCTCGTGCGAATCTTACGAGAGGCACGGGTAGTCTTGTGTTTCACGTATCCTATGAGCAATTGTTCGACCCGTGTTAAATCGCGGTGTAAGGAGTCAACGAAGTGCCCGAACGTCACGCGACAATTCTTTCCTTCCACAAGAATCTGCCGCGCGGAATGGTAATACGCTCTCCGAGGGGTTGGAACCGAACGAAGCCGAGTTTACGATCGGAACGGTGTCGGAACTGTCGAGACGCACGCTCGTGGCTGCGCGCCGATTGCGTTCGCGCAGAAAGGGGAGCATAAATATCGGCGCGATCAGCGCGAGAGAGAGGGTCGATAGGTACGCGGGAAATTAACGGAACGCGAGCCAGTCATCCCCACTCGATCTTGTCGCCGGTCGTAAATAATCGGTCGACCGGCCATTCGTTAGCCTGAGTTTCGTCGCGCCGCCGACTCGTGACGCACCTGCGTGACCCCGACGCTGGAACGCCAGGTACACCGCGGCGGCACCTGGCTGCTTTCGAACAGAGGTCAGGGGAAAATCTCGGGGAAAAGCGCAGCGGTTTCTCCGGGGGCGACCTTCTTGTCCCGGCTTTTCTTCACCCCTGCGAGTCCGCGATCACGATGGAAGGTCGCGCGACGCTTCACAGAATCGGGACGCTCCGGGTCGGAGAAATTTTTGCGAGCGACTCGGTTCGCGCTGTCTTGATGGTTGAGGATCTTTGAACACGAATGTCGTTCGACGATTTCGGAGTGATTTAGTGATTACGTTGGGAGATTGTTAGGATATAGGAGCGTTTTGCACACGGTGTAGGCTGCGTTTTCTCTGTTGATTGGGCAAGTATGCCTTGCTACTCTGCGCAGTGTTGACACTAGAATTAGCAGTCGAAGTGATTGGTCTAGAGTTTCTGAAACTATAAAATTGCATTCATTGAGATTGATTAGCTGTTTTAGTCTGCATGTTACTGCATGGAAAAGAATTTTTCAGATTAGCAACTAGATATCTTATGAAATAAGTATTCCTGAATGTTATTGGATTCTATAGGTCCTCGTTTAAGAATTTTTACAAGTTTAATTTCAGAAGTTAGTAACTATGAATGATTCTAGAGGAGCAGATCAGTTGCATTGAAGTGCAATTCTTATTTCAACAGAGAAAACGCGAGATGTGACATTCCGTGCGTGAAACAGTCCTGCAGTTCTACACGATTTTAGAGCCTCAAACGTTCCTTCAATTAACCGCGATTAAGCGAGTTCGTTAGCGATTGAAACGTTACTGGGATCGTTGTTACGGTTCAGCCGGTCTCGATTCGGGAAGGTCGTCTCGAAAGGGTTCGCGGGATATTTACGGGGACGCGGAAATGGCGGAGCTGATCCGACACAGTTAATGCGGTTCGGCCTCTGTTGTCTCGCGCGGGAATTCGGAACAGCGCGTTTCGGTCCCTCCTCTCTGATTAATTTCAAACGTGCAACGCTCCGTTGTTCCGTTTCACTGTCCCGCGGCGGAGCTGAGTCAACAATGTTGTTACTTCCGCGAAAGACGTATTCGGATGTAAACGAATTTCTGTCGCGGAGATTGTAGACTTTATCGTGTGCCGGAAGTGGCCTAGCTCCGCCTCTCATAGGACTTTTATAGATAACGCTACGCCTACATTTGGCAAACAGGCTGAACGCATCGCGCAAGCTAGAGGAAAGTAACTCTGCAGTTAACATTAGACTACCGAACGAACCGGAATGTCAAAATAAATCTTTCGTGATTGTTATAATTCCTTTCTTCATTTCAATGAGGAATTATAATAAATCACTGCAATTGCTTGGCAGTTCAAGTCTCAACGCCAAATGACGGAAACTAATCAAGCATCGGTGAACAGTTATTCACCGATGCTCGTGGATGTTCGCCAACGTTCGCCCGTGTTTGCCAATACTTGGCATAGCTCCGCAGATGTCGAACGAAACGTGATTCGTTCAACGATCAAGCAAGCCAACGCGCGGTCGGTCGCTCCGCGCAAACATTTCTCCAACCTGCGGCGTGACTCGATGGAAGCGAAAGTGAACAAGGGTTGTTTCTAGGTGTAGGGGTGAGCGGGTGGGAAAACGGAAGGTCTTTAGGAGAAGAGCGTAAGCGAGAGAGTGGGTGGGTGTGGGGGATTATTAGAAGATTAAGCCGCGAAAATTAATCCAGCCGTGAGAGACGCGATGTCTAACTTGGTTGATGATTTGTGCCCTGGCCCCGCCCCAACCCCGGCGTTGCCCCCCTGGTGTGTTGCCCTGCCGTTGCCCTGCCGTTGCCCTGCCCGGAACGACGGACCCTGACTCGATCGGCAAATGGACCACCCTACCAACAATCGACAACAACTACCAACCACCACCAATGAACCAACCACCAACTACCACGGCCCGACAGTACAAAGCCTCAATCATTGTACCCGATTGCCCCGGACCCGAACGGTAATGACCAACACCACTACTTAATGTCTTATTTTTCTTTGTCTCTAATTACAAGAATACCTAAAAAGGCGCCGATATAATACGGATCGCTGTGCCGTCTTTTTTTATTTTTTAACCGAACGATAGCGTCCTCTTTTTTT